ACATTTTGGCCAGTGTTGCTCAGGCAGTAGTTTGCCATAATCAGAAGTGTCTGGACGCTGATGGTAACCACTTTGAGCACCTCTTGTAATTGCAGAAGCCAAAGGTGACTTGTATTCATCTTTTGTTATTGGTATATATTGAGTATTGCAATTGTAATAGTTTTTTTCCTTTCTTAAAATGTGTACACATTTTTTTGGCACCCTCTGTATGTATATCTTCTTCAACATTGTTTATTACAGGGTTTCTCAATCTTGGCAATATTGACACTTTGGGATGGATAGCGCTTAGTTGGGGTGTGTGTGTGTGTGTGTGTGTGTGTGTGTGTGTGTGTGTGTGTGTGTTGGGGGGAGGGGGACTGTCCTGTGCATCATAGGACGTTTAGAAGAATCTCTGGCCTATACATATTAGATGCCAGTAGCACTCCCCACACACAATCATAACAAAAATGCCACCATGGGACATGGTCTCTTGGGGGTCAAAATTGCCCTTGTATGAGAACTATTGTTTTAGAATTATGTGTTCATGCACTAGTCCTATACATCTAGTCCCATTAGAATATGAGCTTCTTTCGGCAGGAATAATGTCTCATCATTTTTATATCCCTATTGCTTAACATTGCACTAGCACAAAGTACGTACCTAACAAATGTTGATGGGAGGAATACATTTAGATAATGGGGTTATTCTTTGGTTGCTTGTTTATTGAGTAACACATTTTCTTCCATCTTTTAAGAAATGTGTAAATGTATTCTGCACTAAAATCCTGGAACTATCAAATATATTCTCCAAATCACGGTGGAGCACTATGCTAAAGGGGAAAGGAAACACTAGGCCTAGAGTCAGTACTTTTAAAATATGGGAAAGCTATTATCTGGGTCTTTGGTAATTCCATGAATATATACTCCAACCAAATAATTGCCTGTGGTTTTCATAATGTGGGATTAATAACATATAGATTTTATTTAGTGTAGAGTAACACATGTCTTCCTGTAGCTGAAAAATACCAACGTACAGATTACTTTTATATGATCTTTAGAAAACTTTTGTGAGAGTATATTATAAGTATCTTCAATCAGAACCGTAAGAAGTGTTTTTTGCCTCTTTAACAACTGCGCGACTCACTTCCACTACACATCTGCCATTGGCCCCCCCACACATTCACTCCAAAACACTACCAATTTTTTTATTCTTCAGTAATAAATAAATGTGCCTCAGAGATAAGATAAAGCACCATAAGCTGAGCACAAATCAACCAGACTTTATTGTGACCCTATAACACCACACAAAGTAAGCCCAAATGATCTAATGTTAACTTTTTACATTCAAGTAATATAATTTTAATAAATGTATTAAACTTACAACTGTTCAGAAAGTTGTCTGTTTCCGTCTTGTTGATTTCTGAAATACACAGTAATGGAGAACAGGATCAGCACATCAGAATTTCATAATGCCTCTGAATACTTCAAATACTAAAGGCTGCTTAATTCCATTTTAAGATAGTATCTCTAGATTGTGAAGCAAGCAACACAGTTAGTTTATCATAGATACAGTATGTTCATTGCCTTGGGGGAAGGGGAGATCTGAACAGTGTTTCTTAAACTTTCCTGTGGATAAGAGCCACTAGGGAGCACCATCCTCATTTAAATTCCTGTTTCTCTCCCTAGTAATTCTGAGTCAGTAGTTTTGTATTGAAGCACAGGAATCAAGTTTTATACCAAGAAATAGATGCAGGTAGACCAGTCTCTTTGGGGTAAATAATGGTCTAAATCACAGTATTGATTCCTCAATGCAATGATATTTATTGACCATTATTTCAGATTAATTTACTAAACTCATAGGCATAGTCCCATTTGTATAACATATACAAGTGTCATCTCCATAAATTAGTTCTTCCTCCCATTTGAAACCCATGTTATCCCTTTATAAGTTTTCTTTTCTGCTAAAGTTATAGCAAGACAATTTGCTTTCATATTGTAAGTCAACTCTAGCCAATGGCTCCTTAGCTTATTGATTTCTCAAAAATTGAGCCCAAACCATAAGCAAACACTAAGCCAACCAACAGATACATAAAACTCTAAGCACTCAAATGTCCTGACTTAGAACATTTCCAATGACCAAAAGTATTCTCTTTAAACATGGCAACAAATGCAAAAATTGTGATGTTATTTTTTTTCTTTTAGATTTAATAGTACTGATTTACTAGAAATCTATATTCCAGAAAGGCTTCTTTCTGACTTTCTCTATTCTGGCTGTTCTGGGGGGAAATGGCAAAAATAAGATAGAAATGACCATTTATTCTCAGTAAATATTAAAAAGCACCACCACTGATCTCCCTGTTTCAATTAATCTGTTCCACTCTATCTTTTTTTTTTTAAACAACATACCTTCCAATTTTTTTTTCTTTTTTTATTGTTAGTTTCAGGTGTTCAGAACAATGTAATAGTTATCCTTTTCACCCTTCACACAGGAACAACCCCCCTCCCCCATCTACTGCCCTCCCACCCCTGATATCATGCTTACCTATTACAATTCCATTCCCACTCTCTCTCCACGTTCCGTGACTATATGTATATATAATTATAGTTGACATACATTATTATTTAGGGAGACCACTTCATAGTTGGTGTAGAGGCCTGACCACCACACTGTATATCTGAAGCTGATGTTGAATAATAATGTTCCACTCTATCTTAAGGTCTTCCTAGAGAAGGTTCTGGTTTTGCATGTTGATACTACTGACAGCATCAGCTTCATGTATGTGTGACTTGTGTATCCACACTGAGTCCTGCACTAAGCATGGCCTTGCACTTGGTTTCATGCTTGTGGTCTTGAAACTCTTAATAATTTTATCTCATAACTTTTGTTTTGAAAGTGAAGTCCAGTAGGAAAATGGAGCATGGGCATGAGCAGAGGAGATACATACCATATGTGTATCCACAGGTTTTTGCCACCCCATCTAGATATATTATTCATAACACCCTGTAAACTCAGGATTTTGGTGGACCTACAATGTTCAGCAAACTCCAGGTGAGTACAGGATAAATGTGTGATGTCTACCACTAAGTAAGCAGAGTTCACTGCCAGTCCCAGGAGGCCATGTTTTCTGTTTCAACCAGAACTTTCTTAGAGCGCAGAAAGAAGGCAATGGCATTCTAATAGACATGAACAACCAAGGGACCCTATCATGTTTTTTCTTGCTCTGCTGAAACTAATGACAGGACTTTTTGGTCCACCCTTGCTTTTGCTGAAAGTAGAGAGCATTTGTAAAATGCACGTGTGTCAAAAATGTAAATAAAGATGGTTGAGCTAGCCTTGTCCGGTGTTTCCATTGATCTGGTAAAAACCAAAATACATGTATGTATGAGCTACGAAATACAGTTGTATAATTTTTGTGATTCCACATAGAAGTTAAATGTTCTTATATTTGCATTTTAAATTGACATTTCACAGTATGAAGGTGAACAGTAAAACTCATGGTAGTGTTTAAATTTTTAGTTTTTTACTTAGAATGACATTAATTAACAAATACAAATACCATGACAAGTCAAGAGACACCACAAAAGGAAAAAAAGTCATATTTTAGTGCCTTTAAAGTCCTTTTTAATTGCTTTTTGAAGAGTTCAACATTTTCATTTTGCACTGGGACCAACAAATTATATAGCAGACCCTGACTAGTGAAGTCTCCCTTTCTAAGCAAGTAAGGGTCATGAGGTTAGGCCCCTAGTTAAGTCTACTAGGTTTTATATTAGCACTTCGTATTCATGCTTTCTACTTGCCCCCTATTGTTTAGTTTCCAGTGCTGCCATATCCCATGTTGTATCCACTAGCCACATATGCCTAGTGACCTCTTGAAATGTGGCTCATCTAAATTGAAAAGTTCTATAAATATAAAATATACACTAGATTTCAAAGCCTTAGTACAAAACGCATATATAAAATATCTCTCTTAAATTATTTTTACATTGACTACTTGCTGAAATAATAATACTTTAGATATATTGGGTTAAATATACAAACTATTTAAATGAGTTTCACATGTTTACTTTTACTTTTTTAGTGGCTACTAGAAAGTTTAAGATCATACATTTGGCCTGCACAGTATTTCTATAGACTAACATTGTTCTATAGCACATGACTTGGCTCTTAACCAAACTTTTATTTCTAATGAGGAACTCCTACGTTACTTACTTTCTATTTTGTCCCCTGCCCCACAAAAACAGACAAACAAACAAAAACAAACCCTCAGACTTTTTATATTAGTTGTAAAATATACCAAAAACGTTATAATTTTTTTCATTGGTAAATGACCTAAGGGAAGAAGCTGTGACAAGGTATATTACATCAATGACATTTGAAGGCAAATATGTGGACAACACGAATCTTTCACACATCACACTTTCAGAACATAAAATATATAAAATACAAGCAACAATAAAAAGAGGAATAAAGATTCAATGCCACTTTCTCCATTTATCATTAAATTCTATAGCTAAAGTATAAGGCCCAATATAGAAAAGGAAACCAGGCCCAGGAGTTAATGACAGACTTGTATGGGAGGCATAAGATTGGGATAGTATTAAAAGTTTAAATACTTTATTAGAACCAACTTGGTCCCAAAGAAATGTTCTGTTCGTTTTAAGACCCTATAACTAAAGGACATCCAAAAAAATTTGTTTAAATCATTGCCCAAGACCAAAGTTAACATGGAGCCATTCTATATGAGAATTAAACTGAATGAGAAAAATAAACTTACTTTTTATTTCAACTGATTCAGGATGTAATTGAGGGGGTCCTACAGCATCTTGCAGCTTTTCATGTAGAACATATTGAATAATTTTATTTATGGTTTCAGGATCCTCTGTAGAGGGAAATCTAAAAATCAGCAGCATATGAGCCAATACTTCATTTTCCTCTTTACTGTGGGCCAAAAAATAAAAAAATAAAAATGTGGTTTCAAAAGATATAGTTCAGAATAAGACCTATGGTAATATCACAATATATTTTTTCTTTATCATTCATTTTGAAATACACAGACACACAAAAACAGATCCATAAATGTAATTTTAGAATATCCAATTTGTTTCCCTCTGTATTCCTACCATTTACCACATACAGAACTCCCAAGTCAGCTTCCCTGATGGTAAGCTAGTATGCTCATGGTCTCTGTTACCACCAAAGGATCTGGTTAAGTAAGTGTTTATTAATACAAAAAGACACTTCTCTTGTCAACCACTCAAGATTATCAACTATAAAGCCTACAAAATATGAAATCATCTCTGGTTTTAACTTTCAGGCTTAATTCCCAGTGGCTTAAATCCAATCATTTCTCCTAAGCAACCTTCAGGTTCTCCTAAACTCCTAACCCTAAGCATATTAGAAAACTTGATGAAACTGTATTGACTTCATGTGACTGTATTTTCAAGCTAGAGCATTAATTAGCCTTAGTGTTATTTAAATGAGTCACCATCCTTGACTGCTCTTTCTCATTGTCTGTCAGATACTCCACCATCTTTTTTTCATATACAATCAGTTCTCAAGGAAATTTACTCCTCCCTCTACATTGTACTGACCCCTACTCACATAAACAGTAAATGGGAATATAATTTAGAATCTTATTTTTAGAGGTCAGTTTTGTTTATATATTATAAAATTTATTATCCACCCTCTCTGATACAGTATTTCTACTTTTAGAAATTTAATCTTCAAATGTACTCTTGTATGTGCAAGGAGATAAGTATGCATGTTTTCACTGTAACCTTTTTTTAAATCAGAAAAATATGCAATAACTCAAGTGTCCATCAAAAGGACATTGGTTATATCAACCCTGACAAATACTTGTAGTGAAATACTATATACAGCCAGCTAAAGAATGGAATAGGTGAATATGCAATCATTGAAAAAATGTGCAAAATCAACTTTTAAAAAGATGTGTTATTTCTGAGAGTCATTGGAGATGGAGCTTTCACTTTCTAGTTTATATAATACCGTGTTATTGAAATTTAAATATTTTGTGTTGCTTTTGTAATCTGAAGAAACAAATAGGGCTTTAAAGAGATCATTGTTATATGTATTTCATCACTTTTCACTGCCTCAGCAACTCTGTATATCAATTCTTTCTTCTTTTTCTTAAATGATCCCTATACTGCCTGGCTAATAGAAATAAAATAAAATAAAACACTCTCACTACCCCAGGTATTCAGTTTATCTCTCACCTTCTTATCACAGCAAACTTTCTTGGAAAGATAAATTATATTCTGCTTCGTATTTACTTCATAGCACTCTGCTTCCTGCCCTTCCATTCCACTGAGTCTTTTCTCTAAAAGACTTCCTTGTTGACAAGTCCAGTTGATTCTTTCCAGTCATATTACTTGGTCACTCAGGAGTATTTGTCAATGCTGACCACTCTCTCCTTAAAGCTTTTTGTCGTTAGGATCAGTGGTGCCTCTCTCATAATTTTTCTTTTTTCCTGTTCCTTCCCTGTGTGTTTCCTAGGTTCTGATTTTTCTATATTTCCTTCAATATTGTTGTTCTTCAAGCTTTCTTCATCAAACTTTTTTTTGTCTTGCATTACCCTTTTCCTGAGAAATTCCATTTATACCTGCACTTTCTGATACTTGGAGTTGATAAGCAAATATAAATCATCAGCTCAGTTCCCTTTACCTCCCCCAACTCAGACTTATGATCCCCTAACATCTCAATTCAACACCTCTAAGAATGTTTTCATCTTTTTAACACAGTTGCACTTCTTATTGCAGGAGCAGGAGAAAAAATAATGACTTGCAAGATTACTAGGCTACAGAGGTAAATTGGAAAGAGATTTGGAATCTAGAATTGGTAGAACTTAGTTATTCATAAAATGTGAGGGGGCCAAGAAAGGAAGGAATGTATGATGACTTCCAGGTTTCTCATTAGTGTTTTTGGGTTTTCCTTGAGTTCAAGAGTTTTCTGTGGAACTTTCATGAGAAGATGTTTGGGCAGGCATACAGTTCCAGAAATCAGGAAAATAGTTTAGACTAGAAGTAAAAACTTAGATTTCAATAATGTATGAAGCCATGTAGGTAGAAGTCTCCTTGAGAGAGTGAAAATTTAGGGTTGGAGAAGTAGATTCAGCTCCAAGAAAGAACAATTATTTCCAACACCAGAGATTATGGAATTTTTAGCAGAAAGTGGTGACACCTCAAAAATGTCAGTGAAGTAATAAAATAAGGAGTAACTCTTGGAGTTTTTGTCGTTGAAAAATATTGGAAATAATATCCTATTTTTGAAAAACACAAAAAAATTCATTAAGACAACATATTTTTTAAGATCGTCATATAGTATTTTGCCAAAATGTCATGATCTGAACTTCTATTTATTAATGGTTGATAGTCAGATCTGAGATCATCTTAAATATTTGGAGCAGAAAGGGGTGGTATGGAAGAATGTAAAGTAAATTCATAGGGAGAGCCAAGAGGTGAAAACAAACTCATCTACTACACTATTTTCTATTAAACCGAATGATGTAGCTTAGGTTTCTATTCGTGCTCATTAGAGTTTCCCAAAAAGCAATTCTATAACATAACCGCCAATAACACCTCTGTCCCTCGCAATCATCTTGCAAATGCTTTATTTTGGATTTAGAGAAGGAGCAAGGCATATTGTAACCCATGACTTACACAGAAAAGGTGCCAAGTGAATATTTGTTGAGTTGAATTACATCATATCATAGAACTTTAAACAGTATTTATTAAGGATCAGGTTAACAGCTTTAGCTTTAAATTATATTCAGAAGTCATCATTTCAGATCTACTTACCTATATCTGATAATGTGAGACTTGACAAATTCTTTCCTCCATGAAGAATTTTGAAATGCATTTTTCACCTGTTCCAAAAATATTCAAATTATGTCAGCAAGAACAATTTTCTGAAATTCTGCAAGTTATTTCGAAGTTTAAAAACATTAAAAGATTAAAAACAAAACAAAACACATTGACTGACATTTCACAATGTGCTGAACCGGAGGAATCTTTTTGGTATTCGTCTCAGTCATTTCCACTGAACTCTGCCTTGGGAATTAGAGGAGCCTGGGAACCATAGTAGAGGGGCCTAGGAGTGACACCTGTTGTGCTACACTCAGAAAGAGATTTAACATATTGTTTTTTGGAAAGCAAGTGTTCACTCCTTGAGATACAGACAAACGTAGACAAAAGAAATGAAACAATTTTGTCCAGTGATAGTTGAGTCACAGAAATGACTACATAACAGTATCACATGAATCCCAGTCCTAGTGGAAAAGTTGCCAAATGTCCTCACGTAATCTGTACCCAATTCACTCAAAATGTTCATAAGAAAGCCCACGTGAGCTAGGATGTTTAGCCTAACACATCATATAAGGTTTACTCCAATAAGATGGAAGAATGTATTTTGTGGAGATATTTCTTACTACTACAATAAAAGAATTCTAGCCAACTTAAATTTTTAAATTAGGAGTCAAAGTAAACATGTCAAGGTTTCTTGTTTTCTGTGTGTGGATCTTTTTTCTTTTTTTTTTTTTTAAATTGGGAATTGGGGGAGGGGAACAGTGTTGGGGAATTAGGGAGAGGGACCAGCCAAGTTGTTGTTCTTCAGTCTTAGTTGTGGAGGGTGCCAGTTGCCATCTGGCTACCTTAGAGGCAGCTCGTGGCCTCTAAGCTCAAGGTGCTGTGTTACAATCTTAGTTGCGGGTGGGCATAGCCACCATCCTATGTGGGAGTCGAACCAGCAGCCTTGTTGTTAAGAGCTCACACTCTATCCACTGAGCCATCAGGGCGGCAGCTCAGCTCAAGGTGCCACGTTCAGTCTTAGTTGCGGGTGGGCATAGCCCACCATTGAACAGGCAGTCTTGTTAGGATCACGTGCTCTCACCAGCTGAGACATCCTGCCACCTGTTGGCAGCTTAGCTCAGGCGTAGCATCACTGGCCCATGTGGGAGTTGAACTTGCGGCCCTGCTGCTCAGAGCTCGCGCTCTTAAGCTAACTATTAACCACCTGAGCCATATGGCCGGCCTTGTGTGTGGATCTTTTCCACACACAATTATTACAAACTGGTGATTAACAGAAACAAGGCCTTTTTATTTTCATACATTTCATTGACTTTTGAGTCTTTGTGCCCAAGGACAGTTATTTCAATTATGAGACAAATCAGCACAGTACAAATGTGTTCACTAATGACAGCATTCACATTAAAATTGATAGTTAAGGGTTTTGTTAATCAAATAGTTTCAAAATTACTATTAATTTTGAAGAGTATTAAAGAGTCCTACTTATATTCCTTTATATTTAAGTCAGCCTGGGTCTCGTAAAATTTATTTTAGTGAATGGCACAAAGAACAAGGAAAATAGTTGCATCTTTTCTTGACCTTTTTAGTTCCATTTCCTTTCTTTTATTTTACATATACATTTAGCTTTAAAGAAGAGCTTATTCGCATATTCCCCTGGTTGTTTACAAGTACAAATACAATCAAGATTTGACCTCCTCCTCACCAAGTTGTCCAAATGCTCATACTTCTAGTCTACTGAGTGGTTTCCAGGAAGGTCACTGCCATTCTGTTTTTAATCAGGGTATTAGAACTGGAAGACAAGTTAGAAATTATCTAGTCTAATGCCTTAATCTTCACATAAGGAGATTTGTGCAGAATCATAAGTGATGTATTAAATAACACATCATTAGCTAGTTACAGCAGTTCTCAACCTGTGGGTCATGACCCCTTTGGGGGTTGAACGACTCTTTCACAGGGGTCGCCTAAGACCATGGGAAAACAAAAGGATATTTACATTACGATTCATAACAGTAGCAAAATTACAGTTATAGAGTAGCAATGAAAATAAATTTAAGGTTGGGGGTCACCACAACATGAGGAACTGTATTAAGGGGTCGCGGCATTAGGAAGGTTGAGAACCACTGAGCTAGTAGATGATCCTGGATTTGGGTATCCCAACTCCTAGTTTAGGGTGCTGTCCATCACTTCATACCACTAATTACCTCACAGACTAGCAGGAAAAGTCAAATTATTTTCTAAGCAATCTTACATTGAGAAGGTATCACCTAAGCCCTTGCTCTTTTGGCTTCTATTGCTTAGTTTCCTACTTTTTAACATGTTTAATTCATCCTTCAGGATGAATATTGATGTCTTAAGGATAGAATGAATATCCATGGATTTCCTATAGACTTGTGTATCAAACATTGATCCAAGTTTAGAAATTTTTAAATACTGAAATACTATTCAAGTATGTGTTTGAATAGTTTCAATCTTGTAGTCTTTTGCTCAAAGTCTCTTCTTTAAGAAGGCTAGGATACAACAACCCTCACATTCCAAGAATTTCTGGATTCTGCTGAATAAGAGTGTAGCCCTAGCTAAGAAGGAGGAGGAGGAGAGATTTAAAAGAAGGGCTGAGTTCACTTGGTTCAGTTCTGCAAGCCATACTTTCCCGAATCATGTATTATCAGTTTTGTTTTATATCTCTTACATAGCAGCCTCTTTTCATTTTGCAAAGACATGCAAGATCAGTTGAATAGATGTTTTAGAAGCTAGAGTACAAAAAAATATAGTAAAAACATGATGGCAAATGCCCTAGAAATACAGAAAAAAATGCTTACCATTGATTCAATTTTCTGGCACATTTCTGTGAAATTGCTAGTAGCCTCTTTTCCAAAGTCACCATATAGTTTATCACTTGTAAATGACAATGTGCTATAGTAATTATAGGTCTTTCTTTGATCTACAAGGAAAGAGATAAAAACCTATCATACTTTTTATCAGATGTGTATAAAGCACCATCATTTTCCCATTTGGTGGTTGCTGGAAAGACTGAGAAAGGAAAGAATGTCCCTACCCAGGTCATCATCTCCATCACTGTGCCCTGAGCCTCATGATTATCTCAGAAGGAAAGACGACATTCATCATCATGAGATTCAGAGTGTAAAAGCCATAAGAAATGCTTGGTGTTCCTGTGGGCTAATTAGTCATGTGTTATCCATTCCTGAATAAACCACAGGAGGTAACAAGTCACGCCATCCTCGCATTCACACAGGGATTGGATTCAGAAGTTTCCCACAAGTAAATGCATTTTTTATATTCCAAAAGCAGATATCTTCCAATTCAGTAAGCTACACATCAATTCTGGCCACAAGGACTCTAGTGTAAGAAAATTTATTTTGGCTAGAGAATGAGATGAAGGTAGGGCTTAAAATTCTAGGAGTTCAGTATACAGAAGTTTAGAAACCTAGAGCTGCCACCTGTCATAACCTTCCAGTGACACTATACTTAGTTTCACTTGGCTCCCTTGTTGCCCTATTTATTCCCTCCCAACGGCAACAGGGATTGGCTTGTCTGCTTTCTTAGCCACTGTCTCCACTTGCTACATCCAGTTTAAGCAGCCCATGTTTCCAGCCTGCTAAAGAATCAATGAAGCAAAGATTTTGTCGACCCTCCTGTACATGAACCAAGCACAGAGCTCTCAGAAGATCCATTCGACAAATATTAATGCCAACTACTTTTTCTGTGACTCAGTGCTGAGCATTAGAATACAATGGTGATCAAGGCTATTGTGTATTGTTATTCCAGGAAAAATGGGGGACCCCTTTTTGGCCAGTCTCAATCTCTCTCCTCTTCTCTCTTGCTTTTCATTCTTTCCATTTTTACTTACACCCCAGAGGAAAAGGAAACTAACATTAGGCATTTGTGTCCCAGGCATATATACATATCTCATTTAATTTATAATAAACCCCATAGGAAGGCAGTATTATCTACATTCATCAGGTATGGGTTACATTCTCAGAAATGTAAATAAATTGCCTAACCCCAACACGACATAGTCAGTAAAGACAGAATTGGGCTTCAAGCCAAGGTCTAATTCCAAAGCACAAACTTTTTTACATACTGCTTCTTGGGGTGGGGAAAAAAAAACAAACCCATACATTGAAACTACAAGTTATGCAAAAAAACTACTGATAAATTTCAAAAGAACAGCCTGGCTGTCCAGAGTATTTGGTGGAACAGAGAGGGAAGCCACCGGGCATAGTCTGACAAGGCCTGGAGTGACACATAAAGGATGACAGGCTGGAGACACTGAAAGGTCAGGGTCTTCTGAGCATTAGCCACCTAAGTGAGGGCCTGGGGAGGTTTTGCCTTCCTCCCGCTTTTCTCACCTCCCTTCAGTGAATGGCCAGTAAGCTGAAACACAGGCAGGTCCCTGGAAATATACACAATTTCAAGTAAGGTTTTTAGCTTATTAAAATATTGACCAATAGTTTACTTTAAGTTAAAGTTGGGCCCAAGACTGCATTTCTAACAAGCTCGTGCTCCTGGCACCTAACCACATGTTGAATAGTAAGTTTCTCAAGAGGAGGGGGAACATTCTTCTATATCCTTAGATCTGTTTTGGGTTTTTTTGCTTGTTTCTTTGAATTATTATATTGGATCATTTGAAATAGCCATTTGTATAAGTCAAAACTGGTCAAATATCAGCAATTTCATATGCTTCAACCAAATGAACAACATATCTGCAGTGACGATTTTACTTCACTCGATAGACTCAAGCAGGTCACTAAGTCTCAAAATATTTTTCAGTTGTCAGGATTATATGACATGTGTAGTTGCTGAAAAATATCATTGGGAATGTTAGCAGAAAAGTAAGAAAAATAAAGGATAAACGTGAGTTTGTTGATAATTTCCTAACACATTTGTGATTCTATAACCTGCAATGATGTTGCTCATAATAGATTCACCTTCTGTCATTCAAATCACAGAGGGGACGGAAATGCAGCCCCAAAGAACACTGGACACAAACTACACACAATTCTCTACCCTATCCTGGGCTTTAAGCCAAAATGATGTTTCTCCAAGTCTGATCACTTCCATCTTTATCTGACTGTTTCTGTAAAAGATTTATTTGGTTTAGTTTGGTAATCTAGGTGTGCCATCTCCTAAAAGCACATGTCCTATGTCCAACTCTGTTTTTAGTTTACATCCCCAAACAGAGTGCAGGTTACAAATATGAGAGGAACACACATCACAACAGTTGATGTTTATTCAGGTGTGCTGCGTAGGCAGCGGAAACTGTGTGTGCCATATTACTCAGCTGATCATCCAAACATTAGGATCCAAGAACAGGTTACTGGAAAAATCTTACCAAGTTTTCATTGTTTGTATATGAATGAGATTTGTAAGCCTTATAAACCTTTGGCTTGGGAAGAAGCAAAGGAAAAGCAGTTAAGAAACATTTTTCTCACACTGAGCTAATGAGACCCACTCACCCCCAGCATTATTAGAAATTCTTTATGAAGTCAGACAAGCCATAGTATGCCCCCAAGAAACTATCATAGGTATGACTCACTCATTTTTTGTCATTCAGTATTCAGTAAGTATTAATTAAGTTGCTAGTATGTGCCAGGATCCTCTTACATTCTGGAAATATAGAGTGAATAAAATGTAGTCCTAGACATCCATGGAGCGGAATACTGATGCTTACAACACCGTGGGACTCAATATAGTCATAACAGAACTGTAGAATTGTAAAGTTACTTTAGTTATTCTTTTTTTATTAAAAACATCCTCCAGAGAAATTATCAAAATACAGATACTCCAAATTCAAAGACCTGTATGTGGGCAAATTCTACCAAAAAAAACCTGTACATTAAATATTTTTTTCTTTAAACTGCTCAGAAATGATCCATCTCACTTGGAAAATTAAGATTGAACTTGTATCTGCTAGCAGAAGAAGATCACCAATTTATAGGTCACCATTTCTCTTTACAGGAAAACAATTTATAGGTCACCATTTCTCTTTACAGGAAAACAACTTCTGCAAATTCCCAATTAAATTAGAATCAAGTGATTAGCTTCTTTGGTTATAAGGTCTTGAACATCAAAGCATTATCTAATCACTAAGGGAGATATTAAACCAATAGGTCATAGTGGAGTCAACCAATTAAAACCTGAGGCAGATAGGAAGGAAACTTCAGAAGGGTTGTCATATCCTGGAAGAACAGTTCTGAAGTACCCTGGGGACCTTTCTTACAATACAGCAGTGTTCATGTTCCGTCTAGCAGTGAGATGCCCAATTACCACAGAGTGAACCTGTTTATAATTAAGCTTCTCAGTATATCCTATCCTCTTTAATCATTTGTAATATATCCCAACATGAAATTTAAAATAACAGAAATAGGCACTTATTTAACAATATATCACTATGAACATTTCTCCAACCTCCTAGCACAGAATAGAGCCCACTTATTCTCTATGATTCCAGATTGTTCAATTAATTTACTGGACTGTCAGGATTTCAGTGAGTTGGAATTATTTTGAATCAAGGTGAGTGCCCTAAGATCTCTAGCAATTCAAGGCAGTGGACTCTAGTCTGCTGTGGTCTTTCCCTAATTAAGATTTGATGATTGTGTATCAATGAATATGAAAACTGGCATGCCGTTTCCAGCAGGAAACGTTGCTTCATCAAACAGAAGAAAGAATCCTTCTTGGTTTGTGAGGATTAACCACGAGACAAGGCAGATAAAGAGTTCTTTATACCAGCTATGCAAATGAATTGTACTAATGAATGAATACGCCTGGGGTTAATCAAAACAGGAATGTACACGAGAAAATATTTGGGGCAAATCACATGACATCAGGATGACCCATACTTACTATATCTCACATAATGAACAGTGAGTCCGATGCACACTGCGAGGACAATCAGGGATATAAAGGTGATGAGGCCAATAACCCATGGCTTCCAAAAAGCTCTCTTCCTGGCCCTCACCACAGAAGACCTGTGAAAGAAAGCAAATGGATGGATTATATCACAGTGCATACCACATCCACTCCTTAGGTGATATTTCTGGGGAATTCAGGACACTGTTAGATGGTAGAGTACTGTTTTTGTTTAGAACACACCCTGGTTCCAGTCTGCTGAAACCAATCTGGCTCTCATTGCCTGACCTTTGGCAAGGAATTTCACTTCTCTGTGCCTCAGTTTCCTTTCCTCTCCATAAAATGGAGATGATAATAATAGTACCTATCTCATGGATTGTTGTAAGGATTAAGTGAATTACTATATGTAAAGTGCCTATGACAGTGCCTAGTGTGTAGAAAGTGCTGTGTAAGTGTTAGCTATGATTTAGTGAGCTGGCTTTGTGCAAGACACTGATTTAGGCACTGCAGGAGCAATGAAAATGTTTAAAGCCTGTTTCTACCACTCTAGAATCTTAAACAGCCTATGAAATGTGTTAGAGCTTGAACCATATTAGATTCCAGATAGAGTTTCTATGTCAATCTCATTCTATTTTTCTGGTTTATTTCCAAAGAAGTTTTGAGGACGTAGGAGATCACCAGAGGTCTCTTCTAAAGAACCTGACTGTTTTGAGCTAATGTTTACCTCGAAACTTCAGTCATGTTGCAGGAAATCCCTTCTTCATGAGACTCCCCCAACCTCCCTTATCTGTACTGCCTTCAAAAACGTGTTACTAAAAAATGCTGATCAACCTGTTTTTTGTTTGTTTAGTAAAGTTGGTTTTTCCTTGTGTTATAGTAGTTGCTAAGCAAACTCAAGAGCTAGAGAAAATGAAACAATAAGTCATAGTTGGCTAAAGAGTTTGTATATGATGTCATTTAAATTTCTTGAGGTATTTATCACGCTGGTAGAATCAATAGCATGCATTCATACCTCCAGAGCACTGTCTGGTCCATGAACACTAGGGGGAAAGTATGGTGTTTTCCTGGAGGAGCACCCGGGGGATTGAATCAGAATTAAGAGAATTCCAAGCCCAGCTCTTTCCATATCAGCTTGGACAAATCATTTAGACTCTGAGCTAAGTTTCTCCATCTGTCAATAGGGACAGGATACCCATTCTGCCTAAAGCACAGGGTTGACTGTGGAACACAGAATGAGATAATAAATGTGAAAACTTCCTGCAAACTGCAAAGCAGTTTGCAATAATTTTTTTTTGCTTATAGAAATCAAGGGGATTCTGTTTCCTGGTGATATATGACCAGGTAGTGACATTACCATTTTGGTCCCTGCCACATCATCATCACATCCTATCTCTGCCTCCATGTTCTGTTCTACGAGAACATTGTTGCAGAACTTAATAGCGTCATTATCACTACATAACTCTGCCTCTGCTGACGGTCCTGGGACGTAGTGGAAGGCTCCCAGGACTCTGTACTTGGTCTCCTTCCCTTCCTCCTGTGACTTTCCTACAGGGCTGTAGTCAAGGAAACTTCATCTTCCACTTCCCAGCCTCTTTCATCTCCAGTTCTCTCTTGAGTGGGATTCCAAACACCTGTTCCTAGAATAGCAATTACTGCAAAATAAAAAGACTTCTCCACAAGGAACCTATTTTTTTATGTGCCAATGTGCCTAAGAAGCCTAAAAACTGACTCCTGTTCTTTCATCCCTGAATGCTTGCTATTCCCCTGCTACAGAAGAAAAGAGATGTATATAGCAAGTGTAAGCAAAACTTGAGGGTGGGGAATATGCGGACAAAAGGGCTTCTCAACTAATATCAAAACATGCCAGGTGAAGACTATGAATTTATAATTGTAGGAACTATGATACAATTATTTCAGGTATATGATCATTATGCAGAATTGTGAAATGTAAGACAGAAGTTCTATTTGTTCTACAAGAATTTTTATTCAAGACAGAAAAATGAAATAATGAAGCCATTACGTTGATGAGGTAGAGGTACATGTATTAACATGCAAAAGGTCAAGTACATAATTTAATGAAAAGATGTTACAGAATAATATGCATTCTGTGTTCAGTTTCTGTAAATAATAAAACTATACATGTGTGCATAGCAAAATACATAGAAAGAGACACAAAATTATGAACAGAAATAAGAGGAAAACTTATTTTAATGTGCCTTTTGTTATGGTAGATTTTTTTCTCACAAGATACACCATAACTTTTGAGTTAAAAATAGAGAGAAACAGACAGAGAAAGATATTGAATTTCAAAAAACAAAAAAACAAGGAAGATTATACACCTTTTCATGGAGCTCCTATCACTATCATGCCCAAGGCATCAGTATGTCCTCTTTTCCTGACCCCACCTTTCACAACTATTTCAGTGATGCTCTTTGGTGGCTTTAAAGGAGATAAGAGGGATAACATGGTACAAAGAGATAAAAAAAAAAACATCAAAAACACTTTAAATAAACAATTAAGAGAGTATGTTGCTGAGTCCTGCCACTAGCTTATTTATTGTATAATCTTATACCAGCAGATTTAATTCTCTTCCTTATTTTCTCCATATGAAAAACAAGGATAATAATTCCAGACCCCTCCTAACCTGATGAGCTACCTAGAGATTAAAATGATGAAGTATTTTGTTACTTTGAGCTCCCAAGTAGAAAATCATTGTTCAAATAGCAAGGACTATTATTATTATCATAATTATTTTAATTATTAATAATGAAATAACCACATTACTGAGATGTTGGTCATTTGAAATATTATCTCTCCCCTTCCCAGTCTGTACAGCATTGCTTTTCAAACTGATTCACCCTGCTTCTTAATTACTTTTTTGTTGCTCTCTCAGCAAGTGATTCAATACTGAATTGCTCCAAATTAGATGTAATAGAAGTGTGCTCAAAAAACATTAGTAAAATGGAGAAATAAAACCATTTTATATATCAACAGACACATTTAATTAACCCCCTTTTGCACATAAACCCTGGTCCAATCATTACTGGTGGCCTGTTGAACCTCCTCATGTAAAATCACCTTCAGACAGACTGTCTAAATTCTAATAGCTTCAGTGTCATCAAATTGCTTTCTTTCTATTAGTTTTCTTTTCCATTTGGGGACATGTGTGATTAAACAGTGAATATGCCAGGTGAATACAGCAATTAAAATATGAATACATTTTTATAAGTCCCAAATTACCAAAGACAAGTAATATATACAGTTACATTGTCATTATCACTTTTTTTTTTTTAAGATTTTATTGGGGATTTGGGGAGGGGAACAGCATTGGGGAATCAGGGAAGGGGAATAGACAAGTTGCTGTCCTTTTGTTCTTCAGTCTAGTTTGGAGGACATCACTTCACTGGCCTATGTTGGCATTTATCATTGCACTCTTCCCAGCTGATGTAGATCAGTCGCTGGGTAGACAGTCGCTCACAGCGGCTCTTGGCAGCTCACGCCAGCTACCAGCCATTCACCATAGCTTGTGGCAGCCCACTGCAGCTCCACTGGCGACTACGCCATCACTGGTGACTTACGGCAGCCCAGCTCCAGGTCAAGCCACCATTCACCATCTTAGCTGTAGAGGGCACAGCGACACTGGCCCTCATATGGGATCTGAACCAGGGCCCTGCTGCTCAGAGCTGGTGTCCCAAGCCAACTCTTAACCAATGTGCCACTCAGCCGGCCCTGTCATTATCACTTTTTAATGTGTCATTTTAGAATAGTACTAAAAAAAAAAAAAGCAATAACAACAAAAAAGCACGGGGGAAAGGATAATAACACAAACTTCATGGCAAGCACTGGAGCACAAGTGAAGACCCACAGTGCTTCAGTGGAAAATTTACCAGGAAAACCCCAACACAATACCACCACCATGAACTAATTGATAGGGGATCTTGAACTCTTTGCTCATTCTCTGTAATGGTAAGCAGCACTGATGTTCTTAGTTCACATGTTTCAACAGGTCAGTCCAGCTGAGCTATTTTGAATGAACATGCACACCATATCTATAAAGCTGATGAAGCCAAAGCATTATTATCAACTATTTACTCCAGAAGTCAGCACACTTTTCAGTAAAGGTCCAGATAGAAACTATTTTAGGCCACACATTCTCTGTTGCAGCTACTCAGCTCTGTCTTTAGTTATAGACAATATGTAAATAAATGAGCATGGCTGTGTTCCAAGAAAACTTTATTTCTGTGCACTAAAATTTGAATTTTATAAAATTTTTACTTGTCATGAAATATTTTTCTTCTTTTGATTTGTTTTCAACCATTTAAAAATATAAAAATTATTCTTAGTTTGAGCACTGTACAAAAACAGGTGGCAGGCGGGATTTGGCCTTTGGGCCCTAATTAGCTGATAGCTGACTTAGCAAATAGCCTACAACTCAATGCTAATTGTGTTGGGGAGCTATAATGAACTTTTCATTTTCTAGTCTCACTTTCATGGCAAATATAATGCAATCTACCTCCAATCCCATTGCCACTACATTGTTCTGGCAATTCTCAATTCTCACTCAAACTTGTCATATAGCTTGGTAATAGGTTTCTCTTCTTTCTCCCTAGCCTCTAAGTCATTCTCCATTACAGCGAGCTGTCTTTCTAGGAGTGATATAGTCAGTGGCTGAGACTGCTTGGAACCCAGTCAGCCTTAGTTAGCCTGGCATTCCCCCTCTTTCCCATGGGTTTTCCAGCTCTTTGCTTTGGCCCCTGATGCCCCCTATGTGGAGTAACTTAGTCTTATTCTTTGATTACATTATAAAAGCCTGTGTGTATTTAGGAGCCAGTTCAAAAATCCCCCTCCACTTCAGTTAGGTCTAGTCACCCTTGAGTATCATGTTGAAGTATGCATCCTGAGCTCCTTGGGGATACGGTCTGAGCCTTACTTATCTCTATATTCTCTGACCACATGCTCAAGGAATGTTCACAGAGGAAATTGAATTGAAGTTGGCTAACCCAAATTGAACCGAACATTTGTCAGTACCACAATGTGGGTTTTAATCTCCCTCAAAGCATTTCTGGTCTGCCTTAGTTTTAGAAAAGAGTTGGAGTGTTATACACAATGAAAGATAGGT